CTGTCAGATTTCCTGGTAAATAGGAGCATAGGAGCCACGCTGTCCAATAAAGAATAAATTAAGTAGAAGAACCCCAGCCGCTGGATATTTGGAAGCTTCAGTGGGGTGTCAAACCAGTGTTTAACACGTTATCCTCACTCACTGTGCAGAAAGCTTGGATCTGTTGGGATTAACTTTAGGAAGGAAGGAAAGGAAGGAAGGAAGGGTGGAAGGAAGGAAGGGAGGAAGGGAGGGAGGGAAGGGGGGAAGGAAAGAGCAGGAAGGGAGGGAAGGGGGATAAGGAAAGGAAAAAAAGAAAGAAAAAGAGAAATAAACAAAGAAAGTCACAGAGAAGCCCAGTTTCCAGAGGGAAGTGGCTTTATGCCATAGCCGCTGAAGGAACAGGCTCAGCTCCATGACCTTTCTATTCTTTTCTTTCCCGAGCCAGTCCAGGAAAGAGGTTCTCTCTTTCTACCAATCACTCAGAACTCTGCCAGCCTTGGCGGGTCTGGGACATTGAGGTGGTCCTGATTCAAAACTGGGTAAGAAGGTAAGGAGTGTGTTCAGAACTAGTGGTTTTCCTCTGTGATTTTCTTTTTTATTTTAATAAAGGTTCTGGTATCACAAATTGAGCACTTTCTCCTGGTTACTGCCCAGCTGGAGAAAGGAGAGTTTGTTCTGTTGCTGTTTAGCAGGCTGGACACTGACCTTGAAAGTTGAAGCCAGGTAGGACAGTCCCCAAATATCAGCTGTTTACTACCACCTGCTCCTTCAGTGTCTGGTCACAGTGGAGAGGGGCAAAAGGTGAGTCCCTTTGTGGCAAAGGCTTGTCCATGTAAATACAACACTGAATAAATTAACCTCAAACCAGCAAGTTGGGGTGTAGCAGTTTAGCAGGACTAATTGCAGACAATGTAGCTGAAATGACTTTTCCAATTAGCTGCTGGTTGGAGTTTAGTTGGAGGGACTGTCAGCTCCAACGATGGGTAATTGCTTTATTGCTCACAAAACTATCATCTATTTAGAACATATGTGCTAATTACTCTGGATGGGCGTCGAAAAAGAGACCATAAATCTAATAGCACTTTAAAAAGTCTATGGTGCTTGTAAGCACCATCCCCTACTACATTCTCTCCTGCCCAGGTTGGTGTGGTAGATGACAGTGTTTGAGGGAGGCAAAGGTTTGGCCTGTAGGAGCCAAGGGGACTCTCTGGTCACGCCCTGCGTGTGCAGGACCACAAGTGTCCTTTGCGTGCAGGGTGAGGGGTTAAGTCGCTGCCTACAAAAACCAGTTCTCTTTAGCCATGGACTTTTTTTTTTCCTTTTGCAAAAGATTACTTTAGAAATCTTTTAATTGGATTAGGTTGGAAAAATTAATCTTCTTTAGCCTTGGATAAATTTATTGTGGACACTGTCGGGAGGGAAACCCCTGTAATTACAGTAAGGGCCCAAGCCTCCTCCATTTACCCCCCCCCCCCCCTCCTCCGCGCTCTCGAGTCTTCCAACTGCGTGCACTCGCGGATATCTCCAGCCCTGGAGAGATCGAAGTGAGAAAGAGTGGAAAGACACGTCTGGTCTGGAGACCCAGGAGGTCCCAAGCAAACATTCTTTGTCCCTAGCTACACCTGAATTCTCGAACTCCAAATCGCCCAAGTTCATAGCACCTTGCCTTTATTCCTGAGAAGTTCTGGGGTTCTGGGTGTGTGTGTGTGGGGGGGGGGGGAAGAGGACGACGCTGCAGCGCTTGGAAGACGAAGTGGGGGTGTGTCAGGGCAAAGGGCTACGGGCGAAACTCCCTAAGTTTGTCCTGCACCTTCACCTCCTCCTGGGTGTCCAGCTGGGAGCCCTCATGGAGACACTGTCCAGTTTTCCGCGCAAAAACACACAGCTAGCTCTTGGCGTTTCCCCGATGTGCTCTGAGGTTGAGGTGGAAGAGCTTGGACCCACTGCACGTATCCTGGCTAGCGGCGACGTCCACGCCAGGCTGGCTTCCGCGCGCGCCTCGTCCCAGCGTAGCGGGGCGTCCGCAGCCGCTGCAAGCTGAGGGCTGGGCCCCGCCGGCCGCGCCTCGCAGCGGGAGATAATAACATCTGCCTGAAACGGGATCCCTACTTTTGCAGCTCAATTTAGCTGTTAATAGCAGTCCTCTGAGGTGTGGTTAATTGATGGGGGATAAAGGCGTAATGACTGGAAGGGGAGACGCCAATGATCCTTTAATATACTTTTAAAAGAACAACTACCCCCAAACACCCGAGAGTCATCTCTCGGTGGTGGCGGGTGCGTGCGTGCGTGTGCGTGTGTGTGTGTGCGTGTGTGTGTGTGTGTGTAGAAAAGAGCAGGGATTTCGAGGTGGTTAAAGCGCTCCGGTACTGTACGTACCTGGCGGCACCAGGGCTGGGCGAAGCCTGGGCTTGCAGGACCTCGGCGCTCGGCTGCCCCTTAGACGCGCAGGTTGGGCTGGTGGGGAGTTTTCGAGGTGCAGGGAGGGAAGAGAAGTCGGGTAACGGAGGCCTGAAAAGTGACCTGGTGACCTCCTGGTTGACTAGCGGGGAAGAAGCCAGAAGCCAGAAAGACGCACACGGCCACTGTGAACGGTTTTCCCTGGACCGGGATGGAGAGCGACACCCCGAAGCTTCTGCCTGCCCGCCTTCTCGGGCAGCAGCGGCCGATCTTTGAGCCTGGGCAAAACGGTCCAGGGATCGGGCTCCGCAGGACCCCAGGGGGTAGGTGGCTGGGTTCCGCTGTCCCGCCACCCGCGGAGGTGCCCTGGAGCCGGCGCCGAGAAGCGCGCGTCGGTATCTGAATGCGCGTGTGTGCGTGCGCGCGCCAGCCGCCCCCAGACGCAGAGCCCGAGCCCTGTAGCCCCGAGCACGTGGCAGTATTTAGGCCTGGTCTTACGGAGCACTGAGACTCTGGCGGGGTACTAGGATTTCCCTGCTTTAGAGATAGGTCCTATAAGTGGCGGCAGAGCTTCCCTAGCCACCAAGGCCTCAAGGCTTTCCGCTCCATCCTCAGTGCCTTCCCTTTCTAGTGCCTGATTTCGCTTAGGTTCACCACAGAAGCATAAGATGAAAAGGAAAACAAGAATGCGATCGCCCTGGCTACTTACGACGGGGAGCCTCCTTAGAGTATGGGAGATGATGTCCTTAGCAGGTTACAAAACAAACCCTCTTAAGAAGCCTTAATGATTCAGGTTTTAGCGCCCTATAAACGAGGGTGAGCGTGTGCGCGCCTGCAGTCTGAGAAGTGGAAGGAAAATTGACGCAAATCGCCGTCCATATTTTATTGCTCTGAGATGTCGCAGGTGTTCAGACTGCAGCTCAGCCATTGTCTACCTTCCTTCTGTAAGCACCCGACTCAGGGACGAAACCGTCTCAAGAAAAAGAATTTTCCTCAGCCATCCCATGGAAAAGTACATTCGCAGGGGGATAGGGAGGGAGCCGCTTCGAGGTCAACGATTTGAAGACAGACAGTCTGGAGTCCTAACTCGAAGGGGAATGCTTGTCTTGGTGCGGTTTCGCCCTTTTGTAGTCACTAACTTCACCCAGTGTGGATCTCAAGGAAATCAAGATTCACAGTTGAGCCCTATGAGCACCCTAATTTTGCTCTATGTGGATCTCAAGGAAATAAAAATTCACAGTGTAGCCCCCTCCCCCCCCCTTATCAGATTCCCTCTGTAGCACCAAGCAGGGCTGGGTGGTGAACTGGGCTCCAAAGTCCTGGGGCTATTTTTGGGATCCTCAGAGTTGGGGAGAAGGCCTCAGACTCAAATTCGTACCCTGGCTAGTGACTCCCAACTTAGTTCCTGGAGACAGTTCTCGGTCTTGGCTACCGATGCTTTGTTGGAGGCGCAAAAACTTTAGCCGCAGAGCGACCCTTGATCCCCCCTTGCCCCCTCAAGCCCTAGATCGGCGTGGCCCTCGACCCTGCTGATCCCCGGCACAGCCCTAGTCCCGGGTCCAGGCCCCATTTATGCTGTAGTCAAAGGCCTTTACTTCTCAGTCTCTCCTCACATCCCTCACCCCACAATAGTGCTTTATGGCTAAGTCTTTGTCCACTCTGTGACACCCAAGTAACTGTAGGGATGGGCACCCACCCATGGGCCCTTCCCTTCCTGTCTCGAGGCTCAGCCCTGCCCAGAGCAGCTCTTGGAAGAGCTGCCCACATCTGGGCCGGGAGAGAAGGGTTGTTGCTAGGGAACTGAACGCTAGTGCAGCACCAGGTGCTCAGAGGTGCCCAGGGCACTAGATCCGAGCTCAGCACGTCTTTGCGTGCCGATGCGGGGACGCCATGCAGTCACACTGAAGGCTACCATCCCTGGGAAGTCGTAGTGACAAAGCCCTTAAGCCTGCACGGAGTATAATGGTATAGTAAGGGTTTAAGAAGGACGCCTGGCCCGGCTAGGGCGCACCGCAGTGGTGGTGGTGGTGGTGGTGGTGGTGGAGGGTTCGCTCCCCAAACCCGACACGGGCTCCCTGGGTCGGCCAGGGCCATTTCTGTGTCTGGGAGTCATCGCTGCACATCGCTTAGGAATGGGCTGAAAAAAAGAGTGTCCCCCTGTCCAATATTGGTTTCTAGGTCCACCATCATCGACTAAAGCCACTTGTACGAGTCTGCCCCAATCAGGGTCTCGTCCAGTGCTTCCAGAACGCTGAGCCTGCGGCTGCGGGGCAATCGGCTCTATTTAGGGCAGCCAGGCTTCAGATGTTGAGTTGGGAGGGGTGAGAAAGCATGGCTCAGGAGAGATGGGTTAACGAATCTCAACTTGATTTTCTGTTTTAGGGAGAATCCTGGTTTAAAGAAGCTGGAAAGCCAGTGGAAGTTCACTTTGTAGCCTTTGATATTTGGAAAGCCTCTTTCTGCTTAGCAGAAACAGCACAGAAAATCTGCTGTGTAATTCATAACAATGATCTTGGGAGACCCTAACTCAAGAGTTTTCCCAGAGATTACTTTATAATCTCTCAATTTAGAGAGTTGGTATGTACTGAACCACCAATATACTGAAAAGTATCTTCCTTTAGACAGGGATTGAGGAACGGAAATACCACCACCTTCCAGCCAAACTGTTATGAGGACTGATTACAGTGAATTGACGCTCCAGATGTTGCATTAGAGACGCTGCAAGTGTGAGCAGGTACCGCGGAGAAGAGTGACATTGTTAACAAAAAGCATCTAATTAACAATGACTTCATTTGATTGGAAGGATGAAGAAGTCTTTTTAAATCAATCCAGATTTACTGGCCTAAGCTCAGCCAATTTATGAATATGGAACCCGACTGGGGTCTGCTTTCTTTCAAAGATGTCATCTTAGAGGTAATAGCATAGGTGAAGTCATTTGGTTACACTGTGGAAACTTTTATAGTGCCTTCCTTGGGAATTGAATTCAGTGCTTCTTCATTTTATTAGGAACAGACTGACTCCATCAACCGTGCTCTCCCTGTTTAGAGGCAGGACTGCTTGAAGCAATTAGGTTCACCAATTAGCATAGTTTTACTGACCCCAGCAGCAGCACCCCTCCTCAGATGATCCATTTCTTCAAAGTCAGGGGAAAGCTGGAGTCCAACATGCTCCCCAGGTGTGCAAGCTGGGGAACTGAGCCCACAAGCAGAATAGCAAGGCCATACAAAATGCTTCCAATACTCTTCAAATGTTATTTTCTTGGCAATTTTGGTGGGGTTTTTACCCTCTTTCTGATTCTGGATCCTATATCATCTAACTGTGAGCCTTAAAAAGCTTTCTGGTTTGGTTGTGTTTTGGCAGATTTTCTTTTAAGACAATGAATTGTCTTCCCTCTCTTCTGTCCGTCTGTGTGCTAATGATGCTGTGGAAAATGTTAAGGTCCTGAGAGAGAACTCATGGGCCCCTTGTAACCTTGTAGGTGACAAGGTAAGGGGCAAGTGTGTGTGTGTGTGTGTGTGTGTATACTCACTTGGTTCTCCAATGACAATTTCTGCACTCAGGAGACTGAGACAGATTGATCATGAGTATGAAGGCAACCTGGGCTACTTAGTGAGATCCTGACTCAAAAGCAAAGAATAAAAACCAAACAAACCACTGAAAATCTATGAAGAGAAGCAAACTGTGGATATGAATAAACAAATGATTTATTTTTTGAATTTTGAAGGTATATTTTAACAAAACACAGTACTGCAGCCCTTTTACTGTAAGCACAAGCAGTTGGTGGCCAACATCGTCAATAAAATAAAATGTCTGGAGCCCAACATAGACTAGGAAAGAAGAGGTTTTGCTCTTGCCACTGTCATGGGGAGAGAAGGGATTAAATTTACATGGCTATTGTCCTTGTCTCTTCTCTAAAAAAATATTTATCTGTAAGATTCCACTAGATTAAATTGCTGACAGTTCATCAGTAGCAGCAACAATGTAATTCCCCTAACCTTATTAAATCAATAAATACTAGATTCATGCATTGAATTAAAAATACATCAGCATGACCATGAATTTTGATCATTTGGTCACAGACCTAGGAATCAAAGATGTCACACAAAACTTTGCTAGTCAGCATTTATTTAACCTATTTTTTCTGTTTTGCATCTGTGAGAAAATATTCTGGGGTTTTAACATTTCAGGAACCGGTTTAGAGGGTGAACTATTTAAAGCAAGCAGTTATGACAAGTTTTATTTTTTGTTTGGTTAGTTCTTGAACATTGTTTTACTAATTCCTCAAATTTAACTATGAAGACAATGTCTACTAATTTTAATAGCTTTGACTTAACAGTTCTTTTCATTTAGTTTTTATACTAATGACAATATACTTCCACTTAGAATACAATAGTCAGACATATTCAGTGCAGAAACTTCCATAAAAGTGTAAGTAAACTTAGTTGTATCTGTTGTTTATTGGTGTTGCTGAGAACAGAACCCAAAGTTTAATGCTTGCTAAGCAATCATTTGACCATTGAGTTATATCCTAAGTACCTGCTTTGGGGTAAGTACAAATAAATATATTCAGTGTGAGTCTATTGCCATACATTGATTATAGCAGTTATGTAAAAATAAACCAAATTTATCTTTCATCACTGTGAACTGTATTATAAACAAAGGATTGCTTAATGTTTTAAAATAAGTCATTTGTAATCTGAGTTGTTTGTTGGAACTGATACCACAAGAAGCAATGAAAAGTTTCAAACCTTTTAATTTAATACAGCACTTAGGAAATTACATAATAACCTGGACTGTTACATTGGATGTATGAAAAGATACCTCAAATATGGTTTATGAGGAATTGTGCAGTTAAACTGTGTTTTAGTAAGTCAATTTACAGTTAGTCCCTACTGAAAACAGGAACATATATTAATCCCTACAAGCTGCGTAGAAAAAAGTACTGTTAATCTAGCCAGATATTTGACCATACTCATCAACAGTGGTAATTATTTAAAAATTATGCATCCCCTATTGATGTCAGCCAGCATATTTGGTACTGAGTTCTGAAGATACAGTCATTGGTCCTTGGGTTTGCCACACTGTGGAAGAAAAATCTTTATTTGATGAAATAGGCAATCAACTGAAATCTATCCTCTTTAAATAAACTGATTCTTCAGTATTTTCCCAGTGTTGGTATAAGTTGTTGTCTCTGATGTCCCCCAGGGCTCTTTCCTCTGCTCTCTGATTTGGTGTATAAAAGCAGCTCTGAATGATGGATTACTGTGTCATTGCAGCTACCGAAGGATTAATTTGTTTCATTGATTTCTCTTTAGGCAGATTGCCAGAATTTGCTGCTTCCCACCTTTCCCCAAGACTTGTAGAAGTAATAGACAGTAATAGCCTAAGACAAATCAGCTCCTTCTTATAAAAATAGAAGGAGAAAACTAAGAGTCCTAGGAAAGATCTGGCAAACATTTTACTGGCCATGCTGGGGAGAACAATTAATTATTTGCTTTGGAAATAACTTAATTGAAAAATTTCTGGAATTGATGCTTTTCAATACAGCATGTTAATTGATATGTACATACACACCATAAATGTGATTCCTAATTTCTAATAGACCTATTCAACAAAGAAAAAAGATACACATCACCCATGTGATTGGCATGTCATTTTCTTTCTATGCCAGATTTTGGAATCAACATGTCATACAAGTTCAAATCCGTTTACCTGCTAGTCTTTATAGGATTAGCTCACACAAAGAATTTGTAGAAAATTTGGGCAATGTGTAAGAGTACCACAATGAAATATAATTGTCTCAAAATAATTGTCTGAAAATAGCAAATAGTTTCATACAATAACATTTTCTGATTTAAAAAATAGTAGTTGACCATAAGAGAGAAATTGAAAAGTTTAAAATGATATTTTGTGTGTTTTCTCTAAATTACTTTCCTCTAAGCAATTAATATAATGTGATTAAAGTTATTATCAAAGCCATTTATACCAACTATGGTGTCTTAACAATATACTTTAATCATTCTACTTCTGGAGAAATTAGATTTCTTATTTTTATTCATATAAAGTGATGAATAAGCATTTAAAATAAATCTTCCATCATTTCAATGGTTTTCATCTTACAATGTATTATTAAGAAAGAAATGACTTGAACTGAAGTGAAGACTGTTTTCAAAGACTCTTTATATTGATTGCCAACTTGTTTTCTGAAAAGGTTCTACTGATTTAAACCAATAGTTCAAAAACTGAATTCTCCGTAGAAGCGGCATTCTAATTTGTTACATGAGCAAAGAAAGCAGAACAGCATTCTTTTCCTTGTGTTCTGAAAGCAATGGAGCATTTTGCATGTACTTAGTCTCTCAGAAGCACTTTCCCAACTGCAGATGTGAAATAGGCTGGTTATACAAATCTATTTATTTCCCTTCTGTAGTGCTGAAAATTATATTGATTTAATGATCTCAAGTTGTACTTTTTATGCAATTAGTTGTGTAGTAAAAACTAATATTGTCATGTGTTAATGTCCCCCCCCTCCACATTGTGCTATGATTGTAGTCCATGCAATATCAGCAAGTTGATGCTTTCCCTGTGCTTTGCTGAAAGGAAAAAGGAACATCTGTTTCCATTCTATATCTGCATCATAATGATAACAATTAAATAGCTATTATGGTGTAGAATACCGTAAATATATTTTGCTGAATGACCTATACTTCCTTTTCGGAAAATTTTAGAGATAGGATGGATTTTTACAGGTAGTTTTTATGTAGAAGTTTAGAGAGGCCTTTGCTTACTTAGATAAATTATCACAGTTCTTATTTTTCTTAGTAAAAACAAACAAACAACCTGATGATTGGATACTTGGCTTTCAGATGTGCTTTTTTCTTTCATCCTTTTCTTTCCTTCTTTCCTTCTTCTTTCTCTCTTTCTTTCTCTCTCTTTCTTTCTTTTCTTCCTTTCTCCTTCCCTCCTTCCTTCCTTCCTTCTTTCCTTCCTTCCTTCTTTCCTTCTTTTTTTCTTTATTCCCTGCCTTCCTGCCTTTTTCTCTCTCTGTTCTTCTTTCTTTCTCCCAATATGGAACACATCATGAATTTGCATTTCATTCTTGTGCTGGGCCCACGCTAATCTTCTCTGTATCATTGATTACCTAAGCGAGCATGTGACTCTTGAATATATTTCTCTTAGGAATATCTTTTGATTATAAATTTTGGGGCTTCTCTCAATATTCTTAAATGGGCTTATCGAGTTACTAATCAAACAGTTCATTTTGTGTTGTGTGCCCTTCGGGTACTTTTTATATTTTACTAAGTTGGAAGACTGCAAATAGTTATAGTATATTCCCCCCTCCCCACTTTTTTTTTCTTTATTAGAGGACATAGATAGAGATCTTTGCCTCTACTTTTAATGTGGTGCTGTGGCACATGGTAAGCACATGCTTTACCACAGGGCTGCATCTCCAGTCCCAATATTTACCATTTCAAGCTCAGCAGGAGCATTTTTGAAACTACAAATAACCATTTCCTCTGGTCTTTAAAGCTCTGGAGAAATATTTTCACTTGTTTTAGATTTTGGTAAAAAAAAATGTTTTGTGGTCACATAGAAATGATTAGACAAAGTTTCAAATGTAAAAGTGATTATATAAGGGAGAAAAACGAACACATATCCCAAACTCAGTTTGAGGAATGAAAGATTGCCAGAGCAATGAAAGCCCTTTCCTTATGGCTTTTGAGAAATAACCATCAT